GTTTATGTCAACTAGCTTGTGTAGCGAACTCTTTAGTAATAATTCCAAAAAAATAGCAATTAACACATCAACACACCATTCTAGTTTATATTCTGGTGCACTTATTGGTCATATAATAGTGCTTCTATTATATAAGCTTCTAGCATATAGTTGTGATTACTCTAAAAAGAACAGACTTTGCTGTTGCTGAAGTTTGTCATTGGTTCTTACGTTGGTTCCCCAGACGGTCCACAATTTTAGCTTTAGCTGAGGTCCCAGCACACAAGGACCTAGCTAAACTTTAGACTTTTCTGGGGCCCTGAGGACTGGTTTAAAAACTTCTGGACATAAATACATGACACTACTTTGTATTTTGTTCCATATATTTTTATATTATTTTTTTATGTTCAACTTTTCAAACAAAGGAATATTTCAATGAACTAGTAGACATACAGAAAAAAGGAACAACATGCCAAGCAAACTTTATTTCAGTTATATTTTTTGTTGTTACATTGTACAAAAATTTGAGCTTGCAAATATAATAGAAGCTTTTCTGTTTACTGAATTTAAATATCTGTAAATAATTAGTTATACTGAGTGACAACCTTTCAAGGCTGCCAATAAGGTAAGTAAAAGGGGAAATAATCCTGTCACTTGTCACTGTGTCCAGAAAGCACGACAGTGGAGTATATATATATATGTATACACACACACATATATATATATATATATATATATATATATATTAAATTTACTACTTAAACTGTGCACTGTTTGACTATATTATGCACACATGAAACAAAGATCAGATTCAGTATTAACAGATATTTAGTATTAAAGAACTTTGGGGGTTGGGGAAACCTAGGTCTCCTGTGTCTTATGGTAAAAGTAAGGGGGGCCCAGCCAACCTAATTTTTCAGGGGCTCAGCCATGATTTTGCGCGGGCCTTGTTCTCAGCGCTAAAAGAAATATTTAGTTGAACTAAAATAAGAATGTTTATTATACTAAGAAGTAGGGCTGCAACAACTAATCAACATTATTGACAATGTTGTTAATAAAAAAATAGTTGGCAACGTGTCAAGTTATCGATTCATTGACTTAATGGAGTGTACGTTTCTTCTTTACATCACGTGGAATACAGTGCAGAGTGCAGTTCAGGTTCTTGCGTGAAACAAAAAACCCCAAAAGCTATGAAAACACTCAATTTTAACCTTAAAAAAGACAGCTTCCTGTATGATATTTTTGTGATCACCACTATTAAGAGATCTTTCGCACAAGTCATGGTGCTTTATTCTCCAGTGGTGTCGGCCACAGCTGCATCGTACATAAGCAGAGTTTTTCTCTAACAGTTCTCTCTCTGACTCAGCTCACATCTCTTGTCACGCACTCCCTGCTGCCAGCTCACGCACCACGCTCACAGCCAGTTGAACCCTAGACTGCCATGTGGAGGGCAGCAGCATCATTATATGACTTTTATTAAACAGTGTAAAACATAATAATCACTATTTTTTGGTTTATTTTACTACTAATAATAATAATGACTAATGTGAATCTAGTAACACTCACTATTTCTCATCTAATCATTAGTTACTGAGGCAAATCTAGTTAAAATCAGTTTATTTGGATAGGTCTTACAGACTGAAGAGTCTTTGGCCCAAAAAGCTCCTCAGCATTCTTAGCAGTTTTGTTGGTTTTTGGTAAGTAGCTCTTATATTTCTAATGTAATTTTTTTTTTTTTTGCAAAATGTTATTTTTGCACCATAGGCTATTCTCATGCTAAATGTTTGGATGCATTTTATATGTCTGTGTTATTCTCACCAGGATGGTGTTTTGTGTTCAGGTCTCCCAGATCAGCCTTTTACCATGAATGCATTAAGATATTAAGAGTCCTCAGAAATGTGTGATTCTAGTCTTATCTGAGCCATTTATTAGTTACTGTACAAAACAGTTCATTTAACGTAACGGAGTTGTTTTAATTAACGCCAATACATTCCATACGGAACAGCATTTGATTCAAGTTCACATAACTAATGAAAGAGTAGGCAGGACTTGAAAAGGTAGAGCTCTGCCAGCTCAGTGGACACCATAATTAAGCAATGGGCTGTTTGAGTTGAGCTTACTTACTGCAGAAGTGTAGATCAAAGGAAATTAGAAAGTAATTATAACTCATATATAAAGTTAATTAAGCTTGAACTTGTTCAGTAACTTTACTTAATTTTACTTAAAAGGCCATAAGTTTGCATAGTTTTTAAAGAAAAGTTGACTAAGTTTACAGTAAAAAGGCCAAAAAATTACAACATTGGGTGAGCAGCAATTTAATGTTTGTGCAAATGTTTGGGCACCCCTGGTCAAATGACATATTTTGTTGTCCTGTTCATATAACATTAAATGTATGTATGTATATATATATATATATATATATATATATATATATATATATATATATATATATATATACATATATAATGTCATGTAATAATATGAGATATTCATATTGTCGACTCTGGATGATAAGTTGGCGGAAGCATGTGAAACTCAATAGGTGTGGTTCATCAAGCTTAACTGAAGAAAGAAATCCTTAAATAGTTTTCGAGAAACTAAAACCTATTGTTGCTCTGACACTTTTTATCAACTTGATAGAAAACAGTCAAACATTTTTGTGAGATGCTGTTTACATATATTTACACTGCGCTTGTACTACCGTATAACAAAACACATCTTTTGAATTAAAGCAACTCTGAGTTTATTTCTGAGGTTTATTTTTACCTCTGTGTGCGTCATTGCTTTCTTTTTTGTTCTGAAATGTTGACTTATGTTTGGGTTCTGGCTTCTCTGCCCACCTCTTTTTGGAGACCCGCTGCGGGGACGGTGCTTTTGTGTGTGTGTGTGTTTGTGAGTATCATGAAGGCTCAGTTTTCAGGGAAGCCCCCATCTCTCAGGTTCTGTGTCACTGTGTTCGCAGGATGAATGTGACACATGTCAGCGGTGCTCAGCATGTGGTCTGGGATTTTGAACACTGATCAGAATCAGATCCTCTCAGAAGAGTCTTATAGTAGTTTAGATTAGATGAGAGTTACGGAAGCAACCACAAAAATACCCCCCCTGAAAAACAGGTACTTTTTAGGGCACAGGCTCTTCCTGTGATGCAACTTTGAATACATCACAGAGCTCCCATGTATGCTCACATGCACCTACAGTAGTACTCAGAAGTTTGGAATCACTGTTTTCAATAGTGTGCAGGAAATTGTCTACTGTGCAAAAGTCTGAGCACTCATTAATTTAATTATCCAGTCAAGACTGACATTAAGCAGAAGTATTTAATTTATCAGGATGCATGTCTGAGGAGATTAGATAGAAGATAGTAGAGAAGATATAGAGAAGACAGAAAAGACTCCTAACAACTGTACTAGACCTGGTAGACACCAAAACCGTCCCCATCACATAAACAGTTAAAGCTTTCATCTTTGAGAGAGAGGAGAAAATCAAGCTCCACTCTTACTTCAGATCTGTGTAGCTGTCAAGAACAGCGGTCAGAGCAGTGGACTGACCTCTCCGGAGTCCAGACCTCAACATCAACATCAACACTGTGAGAAGCAGTCCGTGGCCGGGAGTCCAAGAAAGCACAATTGGCCTCGCTCTCTGGGTGGGTAGGATGATCTCCCCCCCCATCACTCAAAGCCATGCTAGTCAGTGTAGGCATCTGTTAGCTGACGTAACAGATCTGGCAGTTGACGCTTTCCTCCAAGCGCGTTTGGCTGTCCAGTGATGTTGCGTGAGCGGCAGTTCGAAAAGATGTGGTGGCGCTTCACAGGTCTTCACCCTTCTAGTTTTGGTAGTATCGTGTGATTGGGCGAGTCCTAACTAGTGGGTGGAACTGGAGACTAAATTGGGGAAAAAAATTGGGAAATTACACGAGAAGCAGAAAATGCAACCAACTTCTAAGACTGAGCTTTGGAGGTGTGGAAAAATATCCCCACAGATTTCTTTGAAAAACTAAAGTGTCATAAAAAAATAGAAGCTCTATTAATGGCAAAGTGTGAAAACTGTAATATTATGTTTAGTTGTTGAGGTTTGTAACGTCCTGTTAAACATGTTTTCTCCTTTTTCCTGATGCTGAAAAGTAAACAACTTGAATTTAATGGCTGTTATGACTGAAAATGAAATGAATGAAGGGTCTCTGACATTTGCAAGGTACTTTCCATTAATATATAACCTGTTTTGTTGCACATACGTGTATAAAATGATTCTAATATGATTCTAATATGATTCTAATATGATGATAGTACTTTACAACTTCATAGGTTTCAGATAGTCTCTACATTTAAGAAAAGATGTGTTCAGAATGGTGAACAGTGCTAGTGATTCTACACTCTTAAAAAAGAGGGTTCTTTAGTAAAGAGAATGGTTCTAAGTAGAACCATGAGTTCTGTGTAGACCCATGTCATGCCTAAAAGTTTCTTTGCATGGTGAAATGGTTCTTCAGATTGATGGAGAATGTTTTGTATATGTTTAAAAAAAGGAGCCTTTTGTGAAAATGGTTCTATGTAGCACTAAAAAGCGTTCCTCTATTGTTACAAGACATCGTAACAATAGCAGAACCTTTTTGGTGCCTAGCTTGTAATGTTTCAATCTACATTGTATAAGTGATTCTTGAAAAAATAAGAGCGTTATTATTACAAGTGATTCCAAACTTCTGGACGGTAGTGCACACACAACCACACACACACGCACACACAAGCACATACCCATGCACAATGAAACACCACCAAGAGCCTTATTTCAAATATACAAGCAGTTTATTCCGAGGCCTCCCATGAGTAGAATGTCGATACTGAGGTTCCATTCGTTCATTCATTCGGCCTGTTTTTCAGACAAATAAATAAGAGCAATGGGTGCATAAGTGCAGAAGGCCACCAGTGAACAGACATTTGGGTTCCATTGATTTTTCTACATTTCTGCATAATTACATGGTTAGGATGTAAACAAAGTAATGGAGAGTGGTTTGATGTGAGATGTGCCGTTCTAGAGAAACTTACCTAGTCAGAATTGATCATAGTGGTGGTGATAGGAACCAGACGTCCACCTCTAGGAGCTACCGCATTGCAAGATATTACATGAAATGACATAAGGCCTTGGCCTAGAACATGTAAATCAGAAAGGTACATGCAGGGCATTGTGGGGCACACAATTAGTCCCTTAAGAAAACGAATTGTTTTGAATTCACCACTATTATCAACATTACATATAAAAACTCTACATTTGTGTGATAAAGATCACGCCCCTGGTTCCTATCACCACCTCCGTGTAGAAACCTGACTCTGTAAGTTTCTCTGCAATGAACCATTTCACATTAGAACACTCTGAATGACTTTGTTTAGATAGAAACGGTACAATTATGTGGGGATTTTAAAAAAAATCCCCTTTAAGAGGCACTGTTCCTCATTCATACACTCCAGTGTTCATGCACTCCACACCATGTGAAAGTCCTCTGTCTCACCGGTAATACTGGACTGTCCTGCTATTTACATAAAGGCTGGTGCTGGCTGACCACTCAGTGGTCTACAGGCTCAGCCTGCCAGCTCACACAGCAAGTCCATCACACATATATTTACAACTGCAGTTTGCGTGTGTATAAATACAGCAAGCTCATGGAAAACAGACGTTTAATCCAATGGGGGGTCTGTACATGGGAACATAGCAACTTTGAGTCTTTTTCTATGTGAATATGAAAATATCACGTCCATTGCAAGTCCAATATATATGTGTATATATACATTTACAGTTCATAGAAAGTCCCTCGCTTGTGTCCTTGTTAACTGGAGTGGAAGCTGGACGACTCGGACTCTGTGGACGTGGACACGCCCCCTTTCTTCTTGGGCAGGATCTTGATGCTGGAGCTCCGTCCGCCTGACAGCGCGTTGCGCGCGGACCTCTTGAACGTGGCCCCCAGGAAGGCGTACAGAATGGGGTTAAGGCAGCAGTGGAAGTAGGCGAGCGCCTCCGTGGCGCAGATCCAGCGCTCGAGCGCGCGCTGCCGCTCGCACGTGTGCTCGAGTACGCCAAGTGACACCAGAGTGTCCACGAGGATGGCGGCGCAGTAGGGCATCCAGCAGGCGAAGAAGCACGCCACGAGAGCCACGGTGGTGCGCAGCGCGCGCCGCTTCTGCGCGCCCACACCGGCGGGGCCGCGCGCCAGGCGCGCCGCCACCACGCAGTAGCACGCCAACAGCACGGCGCCGGGCAGCGCGAAGCCCACGAGCACGTGCTGCATCCTGAAGGCGATGGTCCAGGTGGCGGCCGACTCGGCCGGGTAGACACGCGCGCAAACGATGCGCGTGCCGTCCACCAAGCTCGGGTCCTCCTCAACGGTGGCGAAGGCCAGGTCGGGTGCCGTGAGCAGCGCGGCGGGCAGCCACGCTCCCACGTAGACCACGCGCTCGGCCAGCAGGCGGCGCGCGCTGCGGCTGCTGGTGGCGCGCGCCACGGCCAGGTAGCGGTCCACGCTGATGAAGGCCAGCAGCAGCACGCTGCCGTACAGGTTGACCGTGTACACAGCGTGCACGGCCACGCACATGAAGCCGCCGAAGAGCCAGCCGCGCGCCGCGTCCACCGCCCAGAAGGGCAGCGAGAGCACGAAGAGCAGGTCCGCCACGGACAAGTGCAGCCGGTAGCGGTCCGTCATGCTGCGCGCGCCCCGTTGGCAACCCATCACCAGCAACACCAGGCCGTTGCCCACCAGGCCCAGCGCGAAGATCAGGCCGTAGACGGCGGGCAGCACGCGCGCCTGCAGCTCGTGGCTGAGCGCGCGGTCGCAGGGCACATCGAAGTCGGCGCCCAGATCCCCTGAACCGGACTCAGCCTCCGAGGAGTTGTCCAGGAAAGAGTTGTCCTCGAAGATGATGTGCTGCGAGAAGAAAAACAACACAGATGTTAAAACTGTAAACAACAACAACAACAACAGAAATAAGAATGTAACCCTAATGGGGTTATTTCACAAATCAGGCCTTCAGCAGGCTGGGAGATTATCTTAGGCCAGTAATGAGGATTGCTCAATACTGCAGCCTCTTCTGCTGTTGACAGTCTTGGTTTAGGCTTAAGTTATCTGGCTAACTGAGAAAGCGGGCTTTGTGAAACAACCCTCTACAGTCAGAGGCTTTTACAGAGAACCACACACTGACTGTTTCACCGTAAACAATAATGATTACAACAGCTATAATGGCGAAGAGATGCTCATCTTGGGTGGCAAATGCAGAAAACAGCTGTCAAAGCATTGAAACGTTAATAACAGCCTGAATTAAAAACGATGTTGAACTCTTTATGTCATCTGAACAGACTGAAAACAGGTCGAAGACTCATTGTAAGTATTATAGAGCACAGTTTCCCCTGGAATGGCGTGTCACGTAGGACCACCATAGCTCAGACTCAGTTAAAGGGGAATTCCACCAATTTTTCAAAACTTCAGTAAGAGTGATTGACATGTAAACAAAATCATTCAGAGTGGTTTGGTGTGAAATGCTTCATTGTAGAGACTCTTTATAGTGGTGCAGATGGGAACCAGGAGTTGCCATGTCTACAACACAAATATAGCCATTTTATTCACTATCCAAAACCACCAGTGAGGCTACACGTGTCTTCTGAAGTTTATATGGAGTGTTGATGATGGTAAAATAGTGGTAAATCTGAAAAAAAAAGTTTTCTTTGGGGACTTTTTTGCCTTAGAACACCCTTCATACATCCCTCACCATGACTAGATTAAAATACACGGATCAGAATATATTTTAGACCAAAACTTTATCGCAAAACTATCCTAAAACAGGGATCTGAGGGATCACACTGAGTATTCTTAACCATTTCATATAATAACTTTGTGGTGGACGTCTGGTTCCTATCACCACCATTGAGAAAAATTCGGTAAGTTTCTCTAGGATGGAGCATTTCACACCAAACCACTCTGAATGACTTTACACCTTAACCATTTAATTGCGTACAAAATTTAAAAAAATCGGCGGAGTTCCCCTTAAACAACACGTTATGCCATGTACACAAATTCACAAAAGAAAAACAGAAAAAAAACGCCATGAAACCATTAAATCCTGTGAAACTCGAGTGTAAAGTGAGACTTACTTCGTAGTAAGACATGTCTAGTGAAACTCCAGCTCAGTCTCAGTCCTCCCTCCTTTAAGTTCCCGCTGTTTTGCACAGATGCAGCTGCTTCACAGCTGCTCAGTTAAATAAACCACGCGTCCACGAGGCCCCGCCCAGTAAGCCACGCCCGCCTCGTAGACCCCGCCCACTCCGAGCGCTCTATAGAAAACGCTGCTTTCCTGTTTTCCACTCAGGCGCTGATATCAGTCTGTGAGAGAAATAGAGTTTATTACAGGAATAAACAGCATTGAGACATTATAGCCTTTAAGTGTCAATCAAACAACGCAAATGTGTATCATATACATGATCAGCACAGCAACATAGAAAAGCAATATAAATATATGGTGTAAAACTTTCTTAGAACAATAAAAATTTCAGGATATTATTGTGTGAAATGGTCACACACAAAGAAAACGATGCATCAGCACAGTTTTTTGGTAACACTTTATTTGGAGTGGTCCTTTGTAGATGATTAATAAACGCTTAACAGGTTGTCAGTAACACATCAACAGCATATCAGTGAAGTAGCAGTAGTGAAGCATCTGAATACACTGAAGTAAATATCTTAAATGTTCTGTTGATACATTACGTACATTAAGTACATGTGTTGTTAATGTGTTATTTACATTACGCAAAACCCAACCTTACCAACCTTACACAATACCTAATCCTCACTCTGGCCCTAATCCTAACCTTAACCTCAACCCAAAATCTAACCCTAACCTTAACCTCAACCCAAAACCTAATCCTGACCCTCACCCTGGGTGTAATCCTAACCCTAACCTTAACCTCAACCCAAAATCTAATCCTAACCCTCACCCTGGACCTAATCCTGACCTCAACCCAAAACCTAATTCTAACCCTCACCCTGGCCCTAATCCTAACCCTAACCTTAACCTCAACCTAAACCCTAACCATCATCCTGGACCTAATCCTGACCTCAACCCAAAACCTAATTCTAACCCTCACCCTGGCCCTAATCCTAACCCTAACCTTAACCTCAACCTAAACCCTAACCATCATCCTGGCCCTAACCCTGACCTCAACCTAAACCCTAACCCTGGCCCTAATCCTAACCGTAGCCTTAACCTCAACCCAAAACCTAATCCTAACCCTCACCCTGGCCCTAATCCTAACCGTAGCCTTAACCTCAACCCAAAATCTAATTCTAACCCTCACCCTGGCCCTAATCCTAACCCTGACCCTAATCCTAACCCTAATCTTAACCTTAACCCAAAACCTAATCCTAATCCTAACCCTGGCCCTAATCTTAACCTCAACCCAAAACGTAATTCTAATCCTAACCCTGGCCCTAATCCTAACCCTAACCTTAAACTCAACTCGAAACCTAATCCGAACCCTGGCGCTAACCCTCACCCTGGCCCTAATCCTAACTGTAGCCTTAACCTCAACCCAAAATCTAATCCTAACCCTCATATGTTTTTGACCTGTTACTGAGAGTCTGTTGAGTGTTTGTTTCACCTAAAAAGAGCTCTCAAAATAAAGTGTCACCTTTTTTCTTTAAGTTGACTTGTTTTTGTTCATGTAATACGTTTTATTCTGAAACATCTTTAATCCTGTTATTTAAAAGCATTTGTCAGTGTACTGAGCAGAAAGCAGAGTGCTGCAGTGACAGCTTGGAGGGTTGAAGTGAAATATTATTGATCTGAACTCTCTGCTTTCTAATATTCCTCAGCATCGTTTACTTCACCTTAGAGGCTTTAGATTTAGCTGTGAGCTGCTGACACTGAGCTACTGTCTTTCACTGTTTCAATCTGTACATTTTTCCCTGTTAGTGATTCATTTTTTTAACCCTCCTATTATTTTTGACCCTATTCAGTGTTTCATATCTCTAAATAAATATCTGACATAATTTTTGCTTCATATTTAATGACTTTCCCTAATTCAGTGGGGACAACTGAGTAAGCATAAAATTAACATGATATGTTTTCAATGTCCTGTGCACAGTTTGTACACATCGTCGGTGCTCTTTGGGGTCAGTATGACCCCAGGCTGTTTTAGCTGCATAAAACATAAGAAATATTAACATTTTACACACATTATTTTTGATTGTTTTGGATGAAATTGTGGTCACTATATCTTCGAAAAGCTTGCCTTTGCTTTGGGGCCCTAACCTAACATAACCACACCTGTAGTTGTGCGAGAACCACTAATAGTTTACACCATATGGAGGAAGGGAAAACAGAAAGCCCACCAGAACTTTAATATTTACTGGAGGTTTTATTTTCTGGAGTCAAATTGATCCAAGCATAAAATATGTTAGCAAATTTGCTCTCAGTCCATCACTAAGCTCTACATCACAGCCTCAGTGTGTGAGTAGAGCGTGTGGGTGTCGGTGTTGCGTGCTGCGGTGTGTGTGTCATGGTGCAGATGTCTAATCTGTCTATCTGTGTGTTTATGGTAATGGTAAATACCCACGTTCCTGTGCGCAACCTTGTGCAAGTGTTGTTAGGCACAGCACGGGCACGCCTGCGCTTCACAGAGTGAGACTAGTGCACGTCAACTAGCTCCACTCCTGAAAGCAGAGATGAAAAGATTGCGCGCCGTCCATACAGAAGGTGTGAAAGATGTATCTGGAGTGGGTATGTGTGAGCTGGCTTGTATTTAACCCTTTGTGAGGATCAGGTCTCATCAGGATGATGGAAAGTATGAACATTTTGACTTCAAGGGGATGTTTGGCTGGTGATCACATGGAACTGTCCTTACAGCTGTCGTTTGAAAAAGTAAAAGATGAGGTAAATGTTAGTTGGTCAGGTGTGGGCAGTGATGGATCATGGTCTTGTGAGGCCCTGGAGCTCAACATCTCAGGAGGCCCACCAAACTCTAACAATTGCATCAAATAAATTAATAGATATCTGAGAAGTGAGATTAAACAATAGCTCACATATGTGTTTATGTTCACTATCAGCAACACTAATTTTATTCTGAGAATAAAAAAAGATTCTAATGTCTGCGTTGCTACAGAAACAGAAGTATTGCTAAATACATCAAAGAGTGAACAGCAGCAATAGAATCAGTGATAATATAGAACCTGAGAACAGATAACAGTTCTTGCCTTATTTCATTTACTTAGTCATTTGAACGTGTTTAATGGCTATTCCTTCATCTAATGTTTACGTCTGCAGTGGATTGCTCCATGTATTTGAGCCTACTCAGGCCATGTGATTTAAGGCCCCCCCAAGGCCCCAGGCAGTCAGAGGCCCCTGGGCTCTGGCCCCACTGGCCTGGTAAGTATTCCATCCCTGGGTGTAGGGTGATCACATTAAAAAAAAAGAGGACACTGGGTAAAGAGGGAGGCATGGGGCAGACTGTAGAAAACAAACGTCAACATGAAAGCAAAGCCAAATCCTGGATTTTTTAGACAATTTAGAGATCCCAAAAAAGGACATGTCCTGGGAAAAGAGGACGTATGTTCACTCTAATTAGGTGTAGTACAGCAAAATATAACTAACATAAAGGGCACATTGTGGTGCTGTATAACCCCAATGAAACCTGCTGTGATAGCCTAAAATAAATTCCCTGACCACCCAAAAAGGTAACCAGGGGGCCCACCAAACATGTGTGCCCAGGGGCTGATATCTTGATGATCTTAACCATTCAATAAGCAGAAAATTTCAAAAAGTGGTGGAATTCCCCCTGAATGCCCATAAAAGCTACATCACAAGAAGTTTTAAATGACAGATATTAATATGTTCCTCAGACAGTGTTTTATGAGGCTTTTGAGACATGATTTTGGTCTAAAATCACTTCATGGCAGTCAGACTGTAGAAAGCAACCGTCAGTGTGAAAGCAAAGCCAAATCCTGGACTTTTTAGACAATTTAGAGATCCCAAAAAGAGGACATGTCCTGGGAAATGAGGACATATATTCACTCCAGTTAGGTGTAGCATAGCAAAGTATAACTTAAAGGGCTCATATAACAGAAAGCTGAATTTCCCTTGCTTTATTTAAAAAAAAGTTTAAAGCTACACTATGTAAGTTTTGGGAAAACGTACACAGTGTGTCTGAAAGAACATTTTGTAACATCAGTTGTGCTTAGGACTCCATCACCAAGTGGATAAATCTGACGATTGTGTGTTGAAAGAGTGTGTTTAAATTCAAATAGATCTCAAATAAAAATTGGTGAAAGACGTGTTTAAGTGAATAAAAGAAGTAAAAGAAGTGAATAATCTACTACTGTCATTATACCTGGATCCATATGATGTTGATTTTGCATTTAAGACTTCGAGCTTGATGTTCTTTTTGCATCTGTAATGTGTTCAGAAAATGTTTACATGTTTATTCTTGGTTATTTGTTTGACAGCAGTTATTTTCTGGTTTATCTGACCAGAACTCTTATAGTGAAGGTGGACTTAGCCTGGCTGGGATCCACTTCAGTCTTTAATAAAGCACAAAGTGCAGCAAACTGTGCCTCTTTAATAGCGGAGGATGCTACAATATATGAAGAAGCTGGACATGGTCCGAAAAACTCCCATAAAATCTGACTCCAACTGTATATTGACTAGATTTGAGATGTTTTCACTTGTCAAGCTATAATTTTATGCTGTGAATGTGTATGAAGGAGAGAGCTGGAGAGACAGACGCTGGTTATCTTCGGGCCTACAAAAAGTTGAGCTAATGAGATTAGATTTGTTCTTCACTATGTAAATGGTGCTAATGAATCAATGAAAATAATAGCAATGCTGCATCAAGTCCCCTCTATCAGTGCTATCACACACACACTGTATGATAATCCCTCAGACTGTGTGTGTATGAGAGCGTGTGAATGAGGGCCCAGGCTCTTTATCACTTTAAGGCATCTCAGAGAGGTGCTAATGTGTGAAAATGCAGATAGGATCAAACACAAACACACAGATCGATCACTCACTGCTCATCAGTATAGACCCAGCTTCAACAAGCTCAGCACCAGTTATAGAGTCTAAAGAGGAATTTCAAATTTGCTGCCTAATTCAGTTGTTAAGACGTAAATAATGTCATTCAAAGTGGTTCAATGTGAAACAGTTTATTATAGAGAAACTTACCAA